AGCATGGATAGACATAAAGCTGTCATTTCACATTGTCAGGAAAGAGATCACGTTGTGATTCCAAGCTACCAGAGATGTGTTTCACTATGCTTAAAAATAGCAATACCCCAACTCCTCAGCTTAAAGAGTACCAGAGTAAAGTCTGCCTTGGGGTCTGTTGGGTATTTGTAGGCTGGAAAGGTTTGTAATGAGGTGTGGTAGTGGAGAAAGGATTATGAATAGGGAAAACTCACGGGGTGGATTTCCTTCTATTCATCACGCTCATGGAAATAGGCAACTGGAAGGGAGGATGTAGGAAGAGGAACCGGGGATGTAAGCAGTCATTTTAACCATGAAAGGACATTGGTTATTAGCTAGCTTGTATGCATTATGTGGATTATTTTTACCTGGAACTACAGCTTCTCCCAATTTATAATTTACAGTGGCAACATGAAATCTGCCATCTTTAAAGCGAGCATATTAACGTAGATTGGAAGTTGCAACTTAGGCTATGCACATGTAAAACGCCTCCTAAACACCGCTGCTACATTTGTAGAATTTGATCTCCCATCAGTACAGCAAACATCAGTTGACTGGATGGGATTGTGCTGTGATCCTTTGCCCCATTACTGTCACCATCATTGTGATCTTCTCCCGTTATTCCCTCAGTAAATCAGGAACCTCAAGCTGAGTTAAAAGAGAAAGAAGAAAACAAGGTGTGTTCTTTCCCTTAATAAAGGTGGCAACGCTCCCTGTTGTGAGTGCAAAAATATAGGAACTTTCCTGTTACATTGCTGCAGTACAACACGTCTCTTGTTTGACTCTTGAATATATGTGAACTCTTAAATGGTGACTGCCGACCTGGCACTTTCTTGCATCTACGTGGCCTTCTTCCCCAAGTCACCACGAAGTAATCCTGGCTGCAAATACTCAGAACTGCGTCGCTGTGCTGGTAAGCACAAGAATCCAAAACATCATGACTCTACAAAACCGGAAAGATGTGATCTTACAATAAGCTTAAACCACAGAAACTAACAGGAAATTCAACCTGGACTACCAAGAGCCTAAGGTATTAGCTTTTTTCCCTAAATCTTAACGAAAAATTAAAAGGAAGGAAATACTACAGTTATGATTTTCTCGTACTGATCTGTGTGAATGCAGTTACGCTCATAATGACAGAAAGCCGTCTGATGTACATCCTGCTTTAAACTGGAACACCTTACAGGCTAGACAGCAGCAAGTTTGTGAACAAGGTTTTTCTGATTACCCTTGTGTAAAATTACAGGCCACATCACTAACGTCCGTGTGAAGATATCAATGTAGGATCAGTTCCAAGGAGAAAAGAAAACATAGTCAAGAATATATCTATTTTGCCATTCCACACAAGCCAGCCATGTGCAAGAGACCGAGTGACATTCACCGTAAAGAAAAGAAAAAAAAAACAAACAAACAAACCAGTAGCTTTGCTCCTTTTCAGGTCAGACAGAATTACCAATCTCATTTAAAAGGCACCAACAGAGATCTGCCCTATCAAAACAAATGTTCAGAGCCTTCCCATCTTGTCTTTCCTTAGCAATTCATCTGCTTTTGGTATTAACGGCATTGTTAAAATGGAAATTTTTCCAGGAGAAAAATTGCTGTTGACAAATGGATCTGGAGGAACAGGGCTACTGCTTGCTCCTGTGTTGTACTGCTAGCAGGAGATCTCTGTACAGATGCCTCTTAATTAGTCATCTGAAGACTTACAGCAATCACGTCACGCATATTGTTTGGCTGTAACTTCCACATTCCATTTAATGACAAGTGTTATTAACTAGACAGCTGAAGACAGAACAAGTTCTCTGCCTCTCGGTTTTTAAGCTGTAGTACAAGAGCATTTCTTTCATATCTGGCTGTAAATCAAGATCAATCTTAGACTCAACGCCTTTCCATCAGTATTACCTCATCTTACCTCAGTTTTAATACCAGCAGTATTGTTTTATATCTTTTTTTATAGTCCATTAATTTCAAAGTCCTATGGAACACTTTGCAGTCATTTTGTAGACTACATTAATTTCTCATGGCAATAGCTAGGCTGGAGAATTGCAGATCCTCTCCACTGAGCAAAAAGTGATGTTTTTGCTACTTGGGTCTACCGGGATTTGAAAGATACTATTCCCTCTTCTTTTGCAGCCCCTAACACTGGCACAGTTATGCACTGACCTCAAGTTAACAGGACGTAAGTATAAGAAACAGGCTGTATACGTTCCTAAATTATGAGGTAGGTTTACCATTTACTAGATAACCAGATAAAACCCAGGCTGACACTTCTTTTCTGCTACATCTGGCATTCTTTTTTGAAATCCCAGAAGACTTACTCCTGCAGTTTTATCAAACTACAGGTTCCATTTTGTCAGAAAGTATGGTTGGGGAATTAAGAGCCTGGAGGCAAAGCCTTCAATTAGGTCAAACCTTGGGCCAGAAAGCTCTCAAATTCTCAGAACAATAAGAAACAATGGGATTTCAGTGTGAAAAAAAGGCATTTTTGTTTCAACAGCTGAAGTACTCAGCCTTACTCCCCCAAAGAATAATAAATATCTGCAAGCTCACCGGCGTGGCTGCACCTGAACGCTAACACTGTGCGGCCTTAAGTCTGACTGCGGAGTGGCCTTCTGCATCGGAAAGCAACGCGTTACTGCCTCCAGAGCTCTTCTCTAGGCTTGGCGGGGGACAAAACATTTCAAAGAGCGGGTTGAAGTTTCTCCTAAGTGGTATCAGAAACTGGAGCATAACTCTAAGAAGGATGGAATAAATGGGCAAGGAAAGGAAACGTCCTGAACGGCTCCTCTCCTACCCGTTCATCCAGGGCCTTTTTTAGCCTCCTGGATGCTCCTCTGCCTTTCAAAAAATGAAACAATAAACAGGATATTGATTAATACAGAACCATAAAACCAAGCCTCACTTAGAGTAAAAAGATCATGAATCTAGTGAGTCTCTCACTGAAGCTGGGTGTAGAGAGAAATCTTCGTACAGCCAGCAGCAGAGATGTTTTGGAAAGCAGAAGAGTCTAGTAGTGAATATTTCATTTGTTTCCGAGTACTTCATTTTATCCTACCACTTTCATCTTTACCTACAGAGCAACTCCGCTATTCTCAGCGTGCATTAACTGGAATAGGGACACGGTTTATTGGCAACATGTTATTTGCAGGCTTCTGTCCTCCTGGACCAGCGAGATGAGAGGAGCAGCGTGCAGCTCTGGCTCCTACAACACACGCTTTTGAACAGGATCTGATACTTACCCAGGGACCTTCAAAGGGATTCTGCAAAACAGTGGTACTAAAAACCCCAAACCAAACACAGACCATCGCCCCACCCCTGAAGCCCTCATCCTGTATAAAGCCATTGAAATCCTGGCCTCGATGAAATAAATATTTTGGGACACTGACCTCAGCTGGGATGGGATCTCACTCTTTTCTCTTTCATTATTAGTAACTAAAGGAGTGAATTAAAAATACACAGGATTTGGAGCAATTCTCTACAGCAGAAAACGCAATGCTCAAGTTTTTAACCAGAGAACCTCTTGACTTGCTATAGATACCAGTTCCCCTCTGTCCTAGAAGCAATGTTAATCACACATTCATCACTGCAAATTGACAACATAAATGCTGACTTGTGCAAACAATGTTAGAGAAAATGGTGTTCTTGCTGCAGAAGTAAATTACACAGCCTTTCAAGCTTTCTACACTTCTCAGTTCTATGTAAACTCTAATTTCTAAGCCTTTGTTCTGCCTTTAAAGGTCACACAGTTGAAAGCTATGAAGCATAGCATGTGTTCCCACTGATATTAAAATACTGTTTACTAAATCATGCATATAAATGTAAAGAAGAAACTGTTTGCAACCTCCTGCGTTAATAAGAGATGATTTATCAGACAACACGGTTCCAAGTATCAACATGTGGAATGTAAACATCTGATCTTAATCACGCAACGTAATTTTTTTTGTTGTTTTTTGAAGTAAAGTCTCCACATTGCCATGCAATCACACTAACTTCTGATGACACCGTATTTGACTGATTAAACTCTGAATCTTGCCAATGCTTAACTTCAGGAATGCAAGTGGTCTTTTTAGATTCGAGCATATGATTGCACATTTGCAAGATCAGGATTTCATTTGCATATTCAAATTGCAAAACTGCATCTTCCCTTTGTCTGTGTAAGGCCAACTATAGCGCTCCAAATGCTAAACAACCACCGTAGAGTTGGACAGTATTTTTAGCATCTCTGTCGTGCACTTCTATCTTTAGCCGCTGTGTTCACAAACAATCCTGCAGGACACTGCATAGCTCACATAGCTCGGGCTCTTCACCACATTCAATTTTTCTCCCAAAACACGGCGAAAGCAGACTATTCACCAGGCCAGTTCAGCATCTGCCAAAGTTTCCTTAGCTGCAGTGTCTTGAGCAGAACAGAACTGTATCAAAGTACTGAAACATTAAAACATTAGAGCATTCTGCTCTGGAGTGGGGATGGAGGTTGCCGTGACTTCCTCCAGGGAAAATACAGCTCTACATTCCGAGTTTGCACTGTGTAGATAAATCAAGGAGGACAGCGAAGGATTTCTGCATGTTGTTTCCTAGCAGGATGTGCCCATGGGTTCATGGCAAATTTCTGGTCAAAGCTTAACCCTGCAAGAGAAGTTAATAATTGAACTTGCCAGATCATCACAATTTCTAAATCCAACTGCGTCTTGTTTTTACAAAGAGGCATATTAAACCAGTGAGCCATTTTATTAGACTCATGCTCATGTAACAAAAACATGTGTTAGCTCCTGAGTGCCAAGTATCATCCTGGAGGGTTACCAATCCCTGTTACAGATTTTGTAGCCAGACTGCAGTTATCTGTCATAACAGAGGAGGTAGTTTTGAATACACAGAATGAAGCACGCTGCTCCGTTCGGGAATACTTTACGTGGTCCTGGTCTCTTTGGAAAACTCTAGGAAGCAGATATATGGCAGGGTGAAAAAAAGAGCTTGAAACTTACTGCTGACTGTGGTGGGACTATCTCGCGGAAGCCTCCTGGACGGCTGGGGCACGGCCCCAAGCTTGCTCCTTCATTCCCTAGAGGAGCTTTTGAAAATGGCTGCAGCACCACCAGTTCCAACATGCAACTAGAGCAGCTGGGTCAAGTCTGAGTGCATAGGAAACGTTTTTAGAGTCATCTGTATGAGGCGTTCCAAAACTACAGGTTTACCACAAAGAGAGAAAAAACGCATCATGGGAATAGCAGTATTAATCAGATGATTGACCTTTGAAGCTTCAAATCTGAAATGCTTTCCACACTGAGCTGGAGCTGCATATGGAGACAATAGCCTCCGATATCTTGATTTACAGAGGAAGTACTGATGGAATCCCATATATCCTGTTAATGGTGAAGGGAAGGGAATTATGTAAAGGAACTATTTTTTTCATTAAGTGCCTTAGCTGAGGTTTGCAGATGAGCCTAGACACTTGGCTCCAGTTTAATTTCAAGGGGACAAGATAACCTGAAAACCCTTAGAAAACCTTAGACCTTGTGAGTGCTTCACAAATGGGCTCCTCATTTCCCCATTTACACTTATCTTCTCTCCCATTACCACATGCTATCAAGCACTCTGTTATGAAAATTCTTTAAAGGATAATGGGACTTTCCAAACCAACTGTGTTCGTTAGCTTCCTCTACCCTGCCAAAGGTATGGCTCTATGGCTGGGAGGTGTGAGAACTGGGGAAGCAGCATCAGGGCTAGGAGGGTGTCCCTTGGCTCTCCGGCAGCACCAGAGCAAGGCTGAGATGCACAGGAGACAGCAGCCAGGCAGCAGCACGTACTGTGCAGTAGGTCTACAATACACATCTGCGGTTTTTTTTTTTTTTTTTTTTTTTTTTGTCAGAGTTATTTTTTCCTTTTAAGCATAGCACGTGTTCAATCAAGAATATCACAGTTATTCATTCAAAGTGTTCGGATTATGTAACATGAGCATCAGGTTAAGGAGAAAAGAAAAAAAAAACAAACCACCAGTACTTTGTTTTTGCTGAGTCCTTTGTTACAGCACTTAATTTTTAAATGAGTGGAGGCTTCCCCTCCACCCAGGATGCGAGGTTGACATCCTGGGGTATGGTCCTCATCCTACTAAGGGCTCCTCAACTGAAAACTGTGGGTTGCAAGACTTGGCCTTTACTAAGAAACAATGATATTACAGGAAAACTCACTGCATACTTTCAAACATCAACAGTAAATTACCCTTCCATTTTCTAATACAGACACGATGTCTGGAGTTGAGCAAACACATTCTTGAAAGGTCAGAACACTTAAACTGTATGTACCTAGTGTAGGATGAAAAAAACTGTTGTTGCCTTTTAGTTATGACATTTCAGTTTACCCACAAGAATTACACTACTTCCCCTAGAAGTTTTCAAGCCCAAGAATGTGCTTTTCTCCCAGTGTTGGAAAGTGAAGGTAAAACTCTTTTTCTGTATTAACTTATCACAGCTGTCACGAATCCAGTGATTTGTCAAGAACATAGCCATTCCTTCCCAAAGGGCTTCTGCCGCCAGCAGATGCGCGTGGGGAAGCCCTGTCCGCCTTCGAGCAGAAGGGGCTGGAGGAACCCGACTTGCCCAGATAGCAGCCGACGGTGAGTCACTCCCCAGGCGAGCCACGCGTGACCGTTCACACCAAACTTTGCAAACCTGAAAGAACTATGAAATCTCCCAGAGTACAGAGCTGAAGGGTGGGTAGCTCTTCATTTTTTCTGAAAGAATGGGAGGAACTTCCTCTTTCAGTTACAGTTACACGGTCTAGTGAGGATACAACTGCTCTAACGATCAGGAAACAACTGTCATGTCAGATGGCACTACAGAGCATTACTGGGGAGCTGCAAGGACCTTGAAACTGGGGACCAAAGTTTGCATTTGCTGGAAGTGCCCTGATCTGTCACTAAACACAGCGTTGTGTCCACCTTCAAGCTTCAGGGGGTTAAGGGAATTGAAGGAGCACCACTTTAACCCTAGCCCAAAGGGGTGAAGTTCACTTCATTTCAACAGAGCTGCTTGAGGTCACTTCATCACTTTAGACCATATTCCTTCCCTGGGGCTCAGACATCCCGAAGCCAAGGCTGCACTGAGCTAGCTCTGGGACTAATTAGCGCGGGTGAGCACTGTGTTAACGCGACCCACCGCACTGGGCCACACTGGGACCTCAGCAGGACATTGCGTGCGCTGTGCCCAGGTAGCCTCAGCAATCTCAAGCTGAATTGCACTGAGAGAAACTCCCCTTAGCTTATTCAGTGCCGGTGAACAGGGACATCTTAGGCATGGCAAGATGACTGGCCTCTGCATTATGAAATGACAGCCCCCCGGGTGGAAGCTGCTGAACTCCAGCTGAGAAGCACTGACTGACTGCAAATGCAATGGAGATTGAAACAGGTTACCCACTAAAAAGTGTTTGAGGGTAACCATTTTATTTCATATTGGCACAGAGGCTGTCAGGTACTGCTTTGTAGAAGGGAGCGCAGCTTCTTCAAATGGACTAACTTGAGCACTCCCAAGTGCTTACCACGGCTGCAACCCCTCACACCTCCATCCTTACTGCTATGCAAAGCTCCTGCCAGCTTAGCTTTAGTCCTTGACAGTACTTCCAGCATGCATCGTGAGCATCGATATGCATTTCACAAGTCTCTCATTCCCAAGTTTGTAACAGAGAGTCAACTTCTCTCCTGAACCAGATTTTCAGTAGAGTCCCTCCTAGTGCCCAGCGGCGCCACTGGTACCACACCGTACCGTGGTGTGGTGCGTACGCAGCCCCGTACGCCTCATCCCACCGCTGTGGTTGCTTTGGAGGAAGAGAGCTCCAGTTCTTCAAAACACCTATTTCCTATTGAAGTTGCTTGCGGGGACTGCAAAGAAACTGTACCTGGTTTCCTGCGCTTCAGTCACTAGATTTGCCAGACATGATGTAGGAAATGGGCAGCAAACGTCAGCCTTACGTAGCGCAGCAATTCTCCCCCTTCCCTCCATACCACGTCTGCGCAGCACACCAAGACCTGACCTTGCACTTTTTAGTGCAGCCTTTCTTACACAAACACTTAAGTCAGATCTAGAGACAAAACCAAATAAAAAGCCAAACACATTGCCTAATTATTTTTTTTAATGAAAAAGGCTGACACCCTGTTTCATACCTATTTGTCCTCAAATCTAAAACAAACTGCGCGTTTTTAACGGCATGAACTTTGTAAGATCAACAAAAATTAGAAAACTCAACCTATTTTTTACTCCTGGTACCAGTGTAAAGACTATTAAAGAACTGATATTCCTGGAGCTCTGTACAGACATGAGAGGTGCTGATGCACAAAAAAGGTGTACCATGATTAAACATATGATTTAGGAGGTTTCAGCTGTTATATTTCTCCCTCTCCCTTTTACAGTAACCTTAATTTTGCTTCCATTAAAAAATCCAAGGCAGAAAACCAACGAAGACCTAGTCCTTCACCTTGCTTCTTTGTGCAATCATTTGGACAATGGATGTAAAGTGGTACTTTTCTAACCTGGCAGCATTTTATATTCACTTTATTGAGGTGTAAATGACAGCATAAGGAGTAAGGAAGTGGAATCAGATACAGCATGTATTTCTCTCATAGAACTACCCCTTTTCCTCTTAAACGCCTTAAACTGAAATACAATTTTCCTCTTTTGTTTCCCCATTAATTATATATGAACAGAGAAAGGTAAATGTCAAGCGTATCTTTAAAGGAAAAATGCATGACAATTTATCAGTCCTCCAATGAAAAAAAAAAATCTCCTTCTTCCTGGATTAGCCCATTCTTTTTACGATGGTTGTCTTACCTTTTTGTAGTTTCTATTTACTGCCAAGAAAACATGCCTTATTATATCGTTGGAGAATCTACAGGTCCTAATTGATCATCCAGTATCTTCCAGATCACGCCATTTATACTGCTGATCATTTTTGAAAAATCAACTCTGTATTATACTTGGTCACGACCAATTAAGAATTAACTCACACTACTGAACCCAATTAGAAATACGTTATGTTAGTATACAACAAGGCACCAAAAATGACGCGTGGGAGAAATGGGGTGACATTGGGGTAGACTTTTGATTTACGGAGGTTTCTTCTCCAGCAGCACACTGCGGCTTCCCTTCCACGGTGTTTCCTGATTTTTACAAGACAAATCAGTTCTGTAACAAGACAGACACTAAGTCAGAAGTGTCAATATGAGTAACTCCCTGAAAATAAACTTTGCTCATTTACGATACAGCGATTCTAATGTGGGACATGAAACTGAACTGCGGGGAAGAAGCTTATCAGGTTGCCGGCAAGCGAGCTGCACCGATGGCAAAGCACAAGGCCCGATTCCTCAACCCAGCAAAGAAAATATGATTCCCTGCACGAATTGCGGCACGAGCCGATCAGATGCTGTGTCACCACGTTCATTCACCAAGCAGTTGTGCAAGACGGGATTTTGCTCATCAGTAAGTACCTCCCGCTCCCAGGGTGGCACGGGTGCTGCGGTGCCCGGCAGGACGGGGCTCTGCCAGGAGGGTGCCTCGGGCAGCTCTTGCACAAGGACTCTGAAAACCACCGGCTCATCAGGACTGCTCATTTCATTATGCCAAAAGAGCTGCAATGGGATTCCTAGACAGCTCTCGCATTGCCACGGTCTGGATCTCTCATTACCACATATTAGTTTGGGGTTTCTGAAAGAGGTTGAACTTTTTTTTTTTTCCCTAAAATGTGTAGAAGCTCATGGATTGAATGGGAGGGACAGAGAATTAACCTCAAGTGCATTTCTTTACTTGCTAATGGTCTGTGCTTAACTCTAAGGGTAACCCAAAAACAAGGAGGAATTTTTGCTACCCCTGAAAAATGTGTTTATGTTTATCTGTGTACGAGAAAGCAGCAGCAGCCTTCACCAGCATGTAATACGTTCCTGGCTTCTCAAGCACATGGCTGTCAAACAACTAAATACTTTTATTAGAAACCTGGTCCATTAATGAGCTAAACCATCAAATAGTCACATGAGAACAGCAGACAACCCCGGGGAGAGCTGCTGTCTTTCCATGCTGACCAAAAAGCTATTTACAGTAAGAGAAATAATGCGACCTCTAATGCT